CATCTCCTCCCCGCTCCTGCCCCATTGTGCCTCCCTCATCTCCTCCCTGCTCCTGCCACACTGCTGACCCCCTGCCCTCCTCCATCTCTTCCCTGCACCTGCCTCCCTCCCCCTATCTCCTCCCCAGCCTACCCCTCTGTGCCCCCTCCACTGCATTCGTCCCCGCATCTTCTCCTCACACCTGCCCCACTGCACCCCTCATCTCTTCCCTGCACCTGCCCCACTGCAACCCCTGCATCTCTTCCCCGCGCCAGCCCACTCCACCCTTGCGTCTCTGCCCCAGTGTGCCCCATGTATCTGTCCCTGTATCTGCCCCAAAGCATCTCTCTACTTGTACCTTTCCCCTGCCTCAGCCCTCAAGTCTGCCCCTCCTGGAAAGTAATGCACCTCCCCTCCAGCTTGCTGCACTCATCACCTCTAAGAAATTAGTGTATCTTCCCACTTAGCATCTGAGATCACCCCAGCTCCTCTCCAAAATCAAATCATTCTCCTTCTGTAAACCAACCTTCCAGTCCCTCCTTGAAATAAATTAGTCTCCCTTCCACAGTTACCAAATCACTGAATCTATCCCAGGCCTTACAAAATCAACTTTATTAAGCAATGCATATTCCCCTCAAGCATCAAGCTACTGAATCCACCAATTCCAAACAATGCACTCAAAAGGGAGGACACTCTCCACCCCACCCTCAGCTCCAAATGTAAATGAAACTCTTTCCTTCTCTCCCAGGAGTCAAACACAAAACCACACAAACCATTGTGCTCAGTCTCACCCCATTACCTTCCATAAATAAATACTGTAAGCATGGCACCCCTTATGTAAAGAACCCGGCCACCAATTCAAGTTCTTCCCTTCCAAACTAAAGGCATCTCTCCACAGAACTCTAATAATGAGTCACTAATCCTGTCCCTCTCTTCCCAAAGTTCATACATAGAGCCATCTTTCTAAATTTATTTTTAAAATGCTAATCATCCTGCCCTCATCCTTTTTTAAAATGAAAGACATCTCCCATCTAAATTTCAGCATCCTGCCACTAATCCTCCAACTGTCTTTCTAAAAAAGAATCTGAATGGTAATCTTCCCTCCAAAATGAAACACCACCTTTCCATCTAATCCTTCCAACTCAAACACCTCGCCTGCTAAAAAGAATGAATTTCCTCTGTTACCTCTCCAAAGCAGAACATATACCACCCAACCACTTCCCCTACCCTTTTAAATCCACACAGCTTAACTGATGTATCTCTCCTTATGTCCAAATCCACCACAAAATACCCATATACCTTCATGTGGAATCGTCAGACTACAGCCACCATCCCCAATTCTGACACACTAGCCATTATCTAGTGTCTTCTATCTTCAGATTTCCCTGTTACAAACATGGGATGAAGGATCAAATCCTGCTGGCTTTACTGATTGCCTTTAATTTCGGTGGCACTATTAGCCTATGAATTAAAGATCTCATCCTACAATCTTACTCCCAGTGTGTAATTGTTGCAAGAGTCTCCCTACTTTCCGTAACACCCTTTTCTTCTCTGGCTAGTCTGTCCAGGTGGAAATAGAAGAAGGACAGTGATGGAATTAAAGCAAAACAAATAAAAGGGCCTGCTCTTGCGCCCATTGAAACCAGTGCCTGGATCAGGCCCCAAATCAACAGAAATAAGATGTAATGTGCTATAAAGAAATTTCACATTGCTGGGGAAGTGGGTTTTCAGGGACAGAGGCAGCTGAACGAAAAGCATAGTTATCTTGACCTGACCTCCAGTACTTTTCAAGGGAGATCAAAGAAAGGGGGGAAAAACAAATAAAACTGGACAATTAAAATAGCAATGGATGGTAACATTTTGATGGAGATATGACACACACAATGTACTCAGTAGGACACCCACTCATGGTGCACACACACCCTCTCTCAGCTCCAAAAGTAAATTTATTGCTCCAGGGTTCAAACTGGCTGAAATCATGGGGGGAGGTAGGAGGTCATAAAGCCAACATATACATATAAAAATTGTGCACCACTCAGTTTGATCCACACTTACGCTGATTTTAGTTGCATCCTTATTTGTTACCTAAAAAGCAGAGAGGGAAATATATTAGACTAGACTCCTAAAGCATATTAACATTATTATAAGCACTCACATGCCCACTTAAACAGATGGTCAGACAGATCTTTAGAGCAACTTTTATAACTTGTTTCAAACTGGTGGGAGAATTGGATTTGATTTAATCATTTGGTGTTTGAAGAACAGGATTGCTTTGGTAAAATTTAACTGTACCTATTAGATGCCTGTAGCAAAAGTTTTGCCATTGCTAAGAAATATATGTATGCAGAAGAATGTTTGCTCCTTGTATAAACAAGGCAGTAGTCATTATAAAAACATCATTTAAATTGGAAATAGTCATTGTAAGCAGTAGTGGGTTTTTTTTATGGCAGTGCAGAGTTGTGCATGGATGTGACTTGGGAAGGCCAGACCCTGAATTGCTTTAGTGCAGGAATGACGTCCCTAAACAGCACAAGATCAGATGCAGCTCATCAACTTTTGGATCCGATTATTTCCTTGTTACAATCAACTTTATTGAAAAACTAAATGATGCCTCTGATCTCTCTGATGCGCTTTCTATCATTTCCCAGGCATTCCTTGTCACCATTTATTGTAAAAGCACCTTACAGTTATATATAAGGTTAAAAGACGACATTTAGATCCAAGTGATTTATTTCCCTCTCATGACAACTGACTTACATTTCTCCCAACTAGACTTCATCGCATTACTTTGGAGTGTATATGCTTTGCATCTATATTTGATCTTTGCAAGAAAACAAATCTTCTATATAGAGGGGACCTGGTGTAAGGATTACAGGCTCCTCGAGGAGTATCATCAAGCTTAATGGCTCTGTGGTCAGAAAAGGTCGTATGCTGTATACTTTAGAAATACACATTTTGGAACCCTTGCTCAAGACTTCTCTAATATTTAACTTTGTTTATATACTGGGCAGCATTATGTTGCCAATAAAGGATGTTGCACCAAGATCTAGGCTGCAGAATAAACTGGAGTGTCAGGAAAATGCAGCCTAGAAATTAAGACTGGAGTTTCTATTTGAGCCAAGAGGCCTTTGGTGGGTTAAGAAAGAATACACAAGATTTAACCTGGTCTCCTTAATACATGTTAATCACTTCATCTGAATATGTAAATAAATCATCCAACTGCAGAACTGTCCTTCAGAATCTCCAGCTAGAAGCATTTCACCCTCTCCTCCATCTGTTCTTATTAATCATCTACACAGAGGATCTCATCTTGTTTAATCAACCTTTCCCACGTTTACTCGCAGTGATTTCCAGCTTGGTTCAGCATAACGCAGTTTTCTCAGTTGCCTCCTGTTTATCCCCGCTTTGTAATGTAATACAATAAACCCGTTTAGAGCGGCTCTCTGGCTGCGTCTTAACGATGGAGCTTGCAGTGAGATGTTGATGGTTCTTTAAGAACATATTTACAATCCCCAACGTGCTGTCAGATTTTCTGGGGAGAATGACTAAATACTATTCTGTCCTCCTGTCCCCTATTCTACTTGGGTTTCCTGCCTGCTTCACGGTAGGTCACAGGAGAAGCTCCTTTCACTTGCAGTGTTTGTTAGCTTTATTTTAATCACATTCTGAGCATGTTGCACTTAATGAATATGTACGTTTCCGTGGCAATTTGTTACCTTGCTTCTGCTGCCAGGGGCACTGATGGCTAATTCATGGGCAAGTTCTCTGGCTGGTTCTTTAAGGTACCACCACTGGATTTCCAAGGAGTAAGAGGTGGATCCGCTGGCCCGAAAAGCACAAGGCATCTCAATATCATCTCCCTCCCTAACAGTCACATCTTTGGGAACTTCAGTAAATGTAGCTGGGAGGAGAAGATAGAATTACAAGGGCTGGTTAACAGGAGAGATTAAGAGACAAGATCAGTCTGGTTCATCGTAATCTGATCCGCGATAACTCGAGGTCTAAACGCTGTCAGGCAAATGAGTGTCTCGCGTTTCAGCAGTTAAGGAACCAGCCCAGCAGCCCGAAGGGAACACAGGCGAGCTTGGTTCTCCACTCCGCAGCCTGGGCACCCACCTACTGGTGCATCAGAAGCGCCAGTGACAAAGGAGACAGCTCTGTGTCGAGTGCCTCACAGAAAAGCCCCTCTCCGAATACGAGGGGACTGCTGTTCAGATTCCAGGGCAAAAATCGCTCTCACAAATGACTGCCAACACCTGCATAATACAAATCGCCATTCTCTGAGCAGCCCGTTAGCGCTTGCAGAAGAGTGCAGGCAGACAGCAATCCCGCAACCCATGGTGTGCTCTGTACCTTTTGGCTTCAGAAAACCCTTCCCCCCGCCCCGCCACTATGACCATCTGCAATTGCCAAAGCGTCAACTCCCTTTCCTTGTCTT